CGGGCAGGTAACATCAGTTTTTTCACAATACATGAAATATTTTCAGTGTAACACAATTGAAAGAAACTTGCCAGTTACCCATATATAAAGAAGTAGATACAAACAGTGACAAAAATCTAACAAAATTAAAGCCCAAATTTCAAAAGATCTTGGCATCTCATATTGACCAAAATTTAAGAATCCAGTAACCTCTTTACTCTTTTTTTAAAATAATAATAATAAAAACTTTACACGGGGTAGGCGAAGAAAAAATAGGAGGACATTACAAGGTCGAAAATCGAACCCTTACCAACAAGGTGAAATATCAAATAACCAACCGACTGAGCTACTATAATTCCTCAATCTCTTTAATCTCTTTTTCTTCAATCTTTCTCATTTAGAGTAATTTTTTTATATTATTATTATTATTATTATTATTATTATTATTATTATTATTATTATTATTATTATTATTATTATTATTATTATTATTTCACTATTTTTATCTAGGGGAAGAGGGAGTTAAATGAGATTTGAGTAGTTAGCTGCTGAGTTTCTGAGGCTTTGAGCACAAATTTTCCGCCCAATTATTAGGGAAAATGGTCAAATATACCCATCTACTTTCATATATTGTCTACATTTAACCTCCGTTATACTATCGGGCCAAATTTATCCCTACCATTATACTATCGGGCCAAATTTACCCCTACAATCAGCAAAGTTTTAAAAATACCCCTACAAATTCTTTTTATTTAAATCACTTATTGTTCTTCTTGGTCCACTATTTTAATTTCAAAAATTACTATTTTAAATCACTTTGGATTACTTAACAGATCAAGGGGTATTTTTAAAAATTTTCTGATTGTAGGGGTAGATTTGACCCGATAGTATAACGGTAGGGGTAAATTTGGGCCGATAGTATAACGGAAATAAATACATATAATATATGAAAATAGATGAGTATATTTGGTTATTTTCCTTTATTATTATTACGTAGAATTTGGGTCTTCAAGTCCAGTTAGCAGAAAGCATAATCAAAGTGTAGTGGCCTTAAGAAGTAAAGAGACCTAAGGGGTCCAAAGCTAACTCTAGGCCTTACGTGCTTTTGCAGCCCAAAAAACAAATAAACTCTACTTAGCCAGCTGCTATTTCATCATATTCTAAATTTTTAATGAAGCTTTTTTTTTTCTTTTTAATAATAAAGTCACGTTTATAATCCATTTTGGCAAGAGAAAAGACAACCCTTTTCTTGTATCTGTACATACGCTTTCCAGAAAAAAAAACTAAAAGTTCATATGAATGTATACTCCAACCAAATAATTGAAAAATAAAAACTTAGTGGGTTTGTTACATAACCATAGGTAATAGGCAATATATATATTCTTACTTGATTGGTTACGTAACCATAATAAATTTATGTAATTTGGTATAAACACGGAATACATATATACATTTTTTTATTCTTAACTTGTGAAACTCTTTTAACTGTTCAATGATGACTATGTCTATCTTACCATATGTTTTGAAATATCACTCACATAAATGATTGAGATGATACAAAATACCAAAAAAATATCGAACAAAAAGAGTTTGAATTTTGTTTGCTTGCTTTCACTAGTATACTTATGGAAAGAACGAAAGTATTCTAAGTACCCACCTAAGAATGAAAAACAAAGCACTTAATTGCTGCATATCGCAACAATCTCTGACTCAATATGGTGTTTGTCTTGATTGATGAAGTCGAAAGCCTTGCTGCTAGAAAAGCTGCTTTCTCTAGGTCTGAACCTTTCATATTCTATTCGATCGGTAAAATAAACACTTTATTGACCCAAATTGAAAGTCCGTACGAAATGTCATAATGCTTACTACGTCCATTTCATCACTGCTGCTATTGATATAGCTTTTGTGGATCGTACTAACATTAAGACATATGTGGGACCGCCAACTCTTCAAGCCAAGTTAAACAGAAAATTTTTACTTTCCTCCAC